GAGGTTTACAACCTTATAACATAGCCGCTTCTTCGCGGCTTCCACGGCAAGATATTGAATGATGGATTCTCTCCACTCGTAGACTTTTAACATCCTATTAAAAGACCACTACTGAACATAGACTTCCGGTGAGAAATACTATAAAGCACGGTCCTGAGCCACTTGCATCCATCGACTTCCTGCATGTCTAACCAGGTCGTCACTATCTAGTGGGGGGTCGCCTTACACTTCGCCTACCGGTACGAGGTTGCCACTCGAGAGAACCTTTCTTCCTCATCGCTTGTCTGTTCTTCGAGCTATATGACTCATTCTATCCGTATATTATAACCATGTCAATATTAATGGAACTATTTTTGTTTCAGGTGTGGTCGGGATAACTTAAGAGACCAATGAAGCAGGCGGATAGTCAAAAAATATAAAATGAATTTAATTTAAGAGAACCGTAATTTTAGTATCTAAGTTAATAATAAGTTAAGCAATATCGTTATATACCCAAGCATTTAGTATCGTTAGAAAAGACCCATAGAAGATGCACGGAACGTAGCTGGAGAAGCTGCAAACGACAAAGAAATTTATCTCAATATCCCAATCATGAACAAATACAGTGCTGGGCATTCCAATAATCTCTTCATAAACAAGGGTCAGGACAAGGCCCTGGATATAAATCATAACGAGAAAGACATCATCATAAAACTTCAAATAACTTCAACGATATGTTTAGTTTAAAATTGTTGCTCGATGCGTATCGCCTTTGTTTAGAATATTGTAATCGTTATGGTGTAAGAGATTTTTAATAAAGTTTTTTTTAGTATCTTGTATTTTTCATTAGTAAAAATTTGTTGAGGCTTAATATTTTTATATACAGGATAGGGGTGACATACGAACACACAGTTCACCTGATGGTTAGTGGATTCTGTGGCCATGGACATCTATCCTCGCTTTAAAAACAAATAACAGATGCGTTGGCACCCTTGAGGACTAAGATTGCCTCGTTTCCAGTAAAAAGGGTATACGGTTGTCTACAGTCACTTTTTTATAGGGTAAGGGTGACAAACGTGCACACAGTCCACCTGATGGGAAGTGGTTGCTGTGTCCTGTAGACATCTACATCTATCCTCGACTACGAATCAAAATGTAGATGTGTTGTCACCCGTGAGGACTAAGATGGAATGCCTCGGTTCCAGTAAAAAGGGCCTCGGTTCTCTACACTCACCATACTAAACACAGCAGCATTACGCTGCTATTTTACGCTGGTATTCTGTAAGAGCGTGGTCCTTCCCCGGTCAAGCCGACACATTCGTACTACAACCATAATATACCTGCAGCGTGGTTCTACTACGTACAATGATTATAGTTATTCCATATATTATATAAGTATCTACGATATCAACAATGATCAAATTTTCTTCAGACATCAGCATGTAGAAGTCCACTAATGAACATGGGCGTCTTTTTTGTCTTAATTGCCAGGTTTTGTAAGTGGATTGATAATAATAGCACCAGGTATTTCGCATTTTAGACACCGCTCTACCGCTCTCACTCGTTAGTCTGTGTGTCTTAACTCTGGAGTAAATTGTATGGTATACCGCCTTCTTTCGGAAGCCATGAGCTCTTTTTGATATTTCTATCTGCGCTGCAGACAGTTACTATGTGTAATAAATAATATACAATCTATACCCATAGATATTTAGTTTATAATAATTGTATAATATAATATAGTCTATACTTTCACTTCAAGCCAAATATAAATACTTGTAGGTACGTTCTTTTTTCAAATTAAAATATAAACAATTGTTCGACGAGTTCAAAAAATTAAATATATCTTAACGGTCGAGCAACCTCATTGTATCTATAGTAGTATAGTAATATTGTATAACAAATAGGAGCAATTGTAGCAGTTTAAGGCGCTGCTTTATTTTATCTCCCTTGTTCTATTCTGAACAATTTAAAAAATTCGCCTTTAACGACACCCATGGAACGAATCTCAGTAATGAATTCTCTCACGCCGTCACCACATGGGAAATGTATGAACCATAGAATTCTATGGTATGAACGCTTTATATGAATTAACGAGGGACCAATGTTCTTCAAAAGATATTTTGAAATTGATGTGTATTTATAAAACGATACGAAAATGAAAGTTTTGGAAACTACAGATCAGTGAAACGTTAAGACAGATGTACATTTGTCTTAGCAAATTAAAAATAATATAGTACTCGTAAAGATACCTTTGTAATACATATTACAAATCAAGAATTCCATCCGTTACAGCTTATAAAAGTTCACTGCTGAACATAGGGTTCCCCCATAATATATTGACTCATAGGAGGGATTTTGCCACAGTTGCCACGCTTGGCAGGTGGGTTGGCAATCGCAGCTTTTTATTATTGTTTCAGTTGTTATCAGGAAGGTGCTGCTGCCCATCTCATACTTCAATTTCCCTCTGTCGCCTCTTACGACACCCACGGGACGATATGGGGTAGTGGATATTCTTACACCGTCACTACACGGTAAATCAAGGATTACTAGAGATCAAAAGAGGAACGTGAGCTCACACCAGCAATAGATTATGTTTTATTACTTTACCAATTTCATTTGGGATTTGTAGTGCTCACATGTCTGATGCATATTCATCCGGTGTAATTGAGGAGATCAAAAATTTTAAATAGACCTGATATGATTCGTGCTTCGGTCAGCTGGAAGCCACTTGCCGTGGTTAACGATCGCCAAAATAGTCCTCTCTTGGCGCCCCTCCAAATCTACGCTTCGGTAATTGATAAATGCAAGCTTCAATATAGCAACGAGCATGAATGAGCAAACGACCAATGTTGACAAAATCATTAACGCATGACTAGCTAAATGCTATACGAATGCGTACCTCCTAATTTGTTTGTTTTTGTGTGTACAGATGTACCTTATTATTTACTAGCGAACCACCCCGGGTTCACACGGGTTTTTTCTACAACCAAATAACAGCGCCACCTATCCGGTCCAAATTTGAATCTAAACTATCTGGAGACCCATTGAAACACACAAACAATTTAATGCAAATCGGTCGTGCCCTTTTCGAGTTTTAGCGAGTTTAACGGACACCAATTGATTTTTATATATAGAGATTATATGTATATATTGCGGTAAATAACATACACTTAGAATATACTGGCGTAGAATATTCTATGTCTATGATAAATAATGATAATTTGAGTAAAAAGAAACCCTTTCAAAAATATATTCTGTCACCTCGCAACAGTACATCCACAGCTGTGTTCCGGTATGGAAGGTGAACTTTTATCAGTCCTCAACATCGATCAAATAAATAAAAAAATTAAAAATTTTGTACAACCGACTTCAATATAAATTAAATTAAAAATAATTATACTAACTAAACAAACTAAGAATAACTCAAAACTCAATAGTTTTGAGTTATTCTTAGTCTGTTTAGTTAGTCTGACCAATGTCAGACCTTGATGAAATTTATATGTTTGTATTTATGTGAAGCACCAGCTGATGCTTTCAAATAAAAAAAGAATCATCGAAATCGGTTCACCCAGTAAAAAGTTATGAGGAAACACACATAAAAAACATATAGTCGAATTGAGTACCGTCTCCTTTTTGAATTCAGTAGAAAACTAGACACACAATCAGTGGCAAAAAATGTCCTTACCGAATGAGCGCCCACTCGAACTTTTAGGTGCATTTGGATTAAAAGCGTTTAATTTGTATGTAGCTTTGTGAATACAACTTTAGGTAAGGTTGAATTTACATTATTAATGTATATTTATTTCAACTAGAATTACGTCAAAACAATTTAACAGTGGTAGAGCCACGCGGCAGCTTTTGCTGTCGCACGGATGGGCCGGCTCGAACCAGGGTGGTACCACAACCTCACAGAAAACCAGCGTGAAGTAGAGGTTTACCTCTGCGTTTCGCTTGGTGAGTGCAGGTGGCCGGAGGCCCTTTTTACTGGAAATGAGGCATTCCATCTTAGTCCTCACGGGTGACAACGCATCTACATTTTGATTTGTAATAGAAGATAGATGTAGATGTCTATGGGCCGCAGCAACCACTTACCATCAGGTGGACTGTGTGCTCGTTTGTCACCCTTATCCTATTAAAAAAAATGGCGACAGTTTTTAGAGAACTTTTGTATGGGACTGTGTATGTAGTTTTTTATTAGTGATCGATGGTCCTAAAGAAAAAACGAGGCACCACTCTCATACTCTTTTCTGCCGCCAAAAAGCAGTATCTGCCCTGCAGTGTTCCAGTCTGAAGAGTATAAAGAGCCAGTATAATTGCAGGTGGTGAGGCATTACATCTTAGTGCTCAGAGGTGACAGTGCCCCTGTACACGCAGCCTTGTGGAACATCAGTGTTAACAGGCTTGTAATCAGAGCATGCACCGTGTACCTTGACGCTCCAATCAACAAGGAAACTGATGATCCAATTGCACAACTTCTCGGGAAGCCGGTAATCAACGATGTATGATGGTGGCAAACGAGCACACAATCCACTTGATGGTAAGTGGTTGCTGTGGCCCATAGACATCTACATCTATCCTCGTTTGCAAATCAAAATGCAGGTGCGTTGTCACCCGTGAGTACTAAGATGGAATGCCTCTTTTCCAGTAAAAAGGGTCTCCGGTTTTCTACACTCACCATACGAAACACGGCAGTGTTAAGCTTCTATTTTACGCTGGTATTCTGTGAGAGCGTGGTCCTTCCCCGATAGAGTCGACACATTCGTGCTACAACTATACTACTAATATGGCTGCAGCATGGCTCTACCACGTATAAAACTCCGAACATTCACTGGTAATGAAAAAATTTTGAGATTTTTTATTTTTTTATATTAATTGTTGGCACAATAATTTCTTCTCCTCAATTTAAAAAGTTTGATATGGTACCAATAAAATCAAATTAAACTTATAGAGCATATAATTTATTTCTATATAATCCAATACTTAAAGAAACAGATTAAACTATTAAAAATACAAAATGTACTTCAGTCATCTTTCTTTTTGCTCTGTTTCATATTTTTGCGTTCATTACCAGATGTTGTGTTTTCATTTTTTTCTTTCGGATCATCAGTTGTTTTGCTATCAGTGGACATTATTTTCATTTTGTTGGATGACGTATCATCGGAAGGACCTTCCTTGGTAACACTTTCATTAGGAGATGCATCTTTGGAATTTTCATCTTTGTAACGAACGCGATACAAATATCTGTTGGCGCGCGAACTTGTTGGAAGATTATCTAGTTCTTTCTTTTCTGGTGAGAATTTTGCCTGTTGTTGTTCTAAAGATATAGAGTCATCTGGTTCCTGGCGTTGAAATATATACTCTTCTACAGTTTTCATTTCATAGCTAGAAATTTCTTCATCAGCATCGGCTTCTGCATATTTTATTTCTTTCAAATTTTGCTTATCTGTTGCACTAGTTTCATAATTATTTGATGTACTGGCTGTCGGTTTATTGACTCTGTCAAGTTTTGCTATAAGATCAGAAGTAATTTCTTCATCCTCTAATTGAAGTAAACTATCTGCATTAGTTGAACCGGTGCTTATGATAGTAAAATTTGAAAATGTTGTATTTTTTGTGCCTTGCAATGTTATAATGGATGCCATTGTTGGAATTGTATTATCTTGCCCTTTTGAAGATTTATTACTTATTTCTTGGTTATCAATTTCTTTTGGTGTATTGCTTTTGTCTAACTTGGATCTGTTATCAGGAGACCCAGAAATTTGTTCCAGCTTTATTTTTTCTGATATTAAATTAGTTGATGCAGGGTCGGATATTAATATCGACACAAACTCTTCAGAAGGTAATGATGATACCACTTCAAGATTATCAATTGGTTCTGACTCTGTATATTTATGTTCAGTTGGAGAAGTAATCATTGGTTCAGTTGCTTTGTCACTGATATGGTCCGAAGAAATTTCGTTATAAGAATTTATGATTGCGACTTTACGAACCTTTTTGCCTTTGGTGTCCATTTTACGTTTTATGGGATTGGGAGGACTACCATCGCGGTACAAATTTCGATAGATAGTATCCTTACTTGCTGGAAAATGTTTTAAAAGTTCTTCCCAATCGTTCAGGTTCAATGTAAGAATTTGGCATTTTGTAAGTGTGCAGTATGAATGCATGTATGGTAGCTCATGCGTAGTACCTTGTAACTAAAATAAATATTAATGAATCTCTACAATTCTTTTCTGAATAACAAATACCATTTTAAACAACTATGTATGTTGAATGAAGCCCTATCTTCCGAAAAGTGCTTATAGCTTGTATATGTAAATGTGTGTAGTAATTTCTTTCTTACACACATTTACATCCCAGTAAGCAGTTTTTGTAAATATTTAATGTTTTACTTTCCAAGTTATGTCAATAGGATTCATCCCTGAGAAAGTTATATATTTTTTCTAACACCGATCGCAGCTCTTTTGTCCAGATGCTAGAGCTATATAGTAAGAAGATATATGAAAAACTTGTATACATATACATAAAAGTACGTATGTTCATGCATATATTTGACGGCTCCGTGGCGCAGTGGCTTAGCAATCAGTTGTTGCGCTGGGGGCCGCGGGTTCGAATCCCGCACGGAACAAGTATTTGTATGGCCTACAAAAAATTGTTCCGGGTCTGGATGTTTGTACTTGTGCAATTTATGTTTGTAAACTGCCTCCACGACACAGGAGAAAATCCTAGTGTGGGGGTAAAGTTTTTTTTTAAAAAAATAGCAATATATGTGCGTACGACGTGCATCGGTCGTGTTTGCGAGCGTCGGTGAAAGAGTTTTTATAGAGTTACTAGTTCGCCAGACAGACGTTGTTCTGCCCTTTCCAAAGACCCTTCCTATAAAAATCCTTATATACGCAATAAAAATTTTTGAGGGTCATTTATCGTGATAAAAACTATCCAATTTCTCAAGTTGGACCAAAATGCACACAGTATGCAAAATTTCATTGAAATCAGTATTATCACACAGTAAAAACTTTTCTTTTAGTATGCTGGCCACAAAAAAGTTTATTGAATTCTAATTTCGAATTGTTCATGAAAATAAAACTGTATACTTTTTTGAAATTTTACTCATTTTTAAATATGGAGTGGACGCTTAAAGAAGACCGTGTCGCAGTTATTGCGCTGCATCGTTGCGGTTACGCGCCAATTCAAATTTTTGACATACTGAACATTTTGAATATAACCAAAAGATTCGTTTATCGTACCATCAAACGATACAATGAAGACTCTAGTGTAGATGACAGGTCAAGAAGTGGTCGCCCTCGGTCTGTTAGGACTCCAGCAGTGATAAAAGCTGTGAAGACGCGAATTCAAAGAACTCCCAAACGTAAGCAGAAACTGTTGGCCCTTCAGATGGGGTTAAGCATGTCGAAAAAAACAGGACATCGTTTGAATGCTCGTCTAATGGACCTGAGACTGAAGAGATGCCGCGCTTTGTTGAAGCGGTACGCGGGAAAAAAATATCGGGAAATTCTTTTTTCGGATGAAAAAATTTTTCCCGTAGAAGAGAGCTACAACAAACAAAATTATAAGGTGTATGCACACAGTAGTGAAGAAGCGAGCAACCGTATTCCGCGTGTCCAACGAGGTCATTTTCCATCCTCGCTCATGGTATGGTTGGGAGTTTCTTATTGGGACTTAACAGAGGTACATTTTTTGTGAGAAAGGTGTAAAAACGAATGCAGTTGTGTATCAAAATACAGTCCTGACGAACCTTGTGGAACCTGTTTCTCATACCATGTTCAATAACAGGCACTGGGTATTCCAACAAGGTTCGGCGCCATCTCATAGAGTGAAGAGCACACAAGACTGGCTGGCGGCGCGTGAAATCGACTTCATCCGGCACGAAGACTGGCCCTCCTCCAGTCCAGATTTGAATCCGTTAGATTACAATATATGGCAACACTTGGAGGAAAAGGCGTGCTCAAAGCCTCATCTCAATTTGGAGTCACTCAAGACATCCTTGATTAAGGCAGCCGCCGATATTGACATGGACCTCGTTCGTGCTGCGATAGACGACTGGCCGCACAGATTGAAGGCCTGTATTCAAAATCACGGAGGTCATTTTGAATAAACTTTAGTGTCATAAGAATCTATGTTTTGTTAAGTTCATTTTGGTATATAAATGGTTACATAATGAATAAACTTGTTTCAATTATTTTATATTAAACATGTGACAGAATTTATGACCTGACTAGGTATAAAGATTAAGAAGTAAGTTTTGGGATCAAACTTTGGGTAAGAGGGAATAATGGACTATTAGTGATAAGCGAATACTCGTAGAAGTTATTTGTGTAGTGGTTGAGTGAGACTATCCACTACCCTATACCGTCCCGTGGGTGTCGTAAGAGGCGAGAGAGGGAAATAAATTGTGCAAGATATGTGTGGGAATGTGCGATCTCGTCGGCAAATAATGTACTAGATACTAATGCCTAGGAACGACTGGCCTTCGCCGTCGAGCGCACTCAATCAGGACACAAGTGTAAAATGTCAAATCAGCAAATTGTATGTAACTACTGTGTCGCTACAAAATCAAGAGATGGGCAGCAGGCTCTTCCTAATAAGGACTAATAAAAACTGCGGTTTCCAACCCGCCTGCAGAGCGTGTCAAATATGGCAATTATATATTATAAGTCATTGCATGGGGAGGCCTATGCACTGCATGGGACTTTGATAGGATATAATGAGAAGTTCAAAATGGTGTTTACCATGCCAAAGCATTCGCCAGTATAAAATGTTTTCTTTTGATTATCTTCATCTTTACTTTCTTCTACACGTCCCGTGTGTATTAAATACATAGAGTCTGTAATTTCACTCTCTCTTACAACGAACATACCTAGAAATAAATTGCCAATGAAACTTGAACATTATTAACTGTTAACTTTAATCATTCACCGTAAACAAAGGGTAGAATGCGAGGGGGCGAATTTTTTCTATATATATATCTTGTTTTATATCAAGCGGGGGGCGATAAGCTAGTTCGTACCAGTTCTAGCAAAAAAAAAAAATCCAAGTTACTTGGCTAAGTGATAATAGGTATACTTTTGAAAATGTTGAAAATCAATAGCCTAGAGATCACATATTTAGGTACTGTGATCACCAATTTCTAAATTTTTCAGTGTTTTTCTTAATGTAATCCTAAATAACTATGCTATTGACTGCAGTCACATATCCAATAAATAATATTGTAAGTTTAGTACAAATAAATAAAGTTTAATTAAGTCATGGTTTAAAACGTTTTAACGCACGTCTTTGACGCCTTGTCTTAAAAAAAAGTACTATACTACCATAGACAAGTTGTTTTGAAAATAGTCCATTTATTTAAAATTTCAAAATGGTGCAACACTTCCTACTTATCTTTCCGCTTTTATATATATTAGGTATAATATGAATAAGAGATTTCATAGGGTTTCTTGCTAGTTACCCAGGTCAGAGATATTTTAGACGAGGCGAAGGCCCTATCTTAAAATTTTTTTTTCCACTGAGCTCGTACGAAGTCAGCGCATAAAAGTACCTTTAATAATGTCAATTTTGTCAGTGGTGATTGATCTCGTGGTGTTCTATAAGCTGAAGTGACAAACGAATTCACAGTCCATCTGATAGTAACTGGCTACTAAGCCAATCATGGCCCTATTTCAAACATAGAAGGTCACAGATGCGTCGTCACCACTGAGGACAAAGATAAAATGCCTCGCAGGTTTTGGTTTTTGTGCAGGAATTTGTGCTATTATATGTCACTATCCGAGTGGTTCGACTTTAACTATCACCCTCGAAGGCTAAGATAAGATGCCTCATTTCCAGTACTAAGGGTCGCCGGTTCTTTACACTCGGCATTCGGAACACAGCAGCATTAGCTGTTATTTTACGCTGGTATTCTGTGAGAGCGTGGTCTTTCTCTGGTCGAGCCAAACCATGCGCGCTACAACCATAGTAGCTGCAACTTGGCTCTATTACGTAGGTATATTATTTTCTTTTACCTTTGTTGTATGTATACAAACGCAAACATCCCACCAGCTGCCGAAGGAAGGCAGCCTCACAGTTTTTGAAAATCGAATTCTGTAACAAATTTATCATTAGTATTACGAGTATATCATAATAGAAATAATCGATGCCTCATACGAGTTTTTTTTTTGGTAAAGGTGGCAATAGATCGTAGGCATACATCTATTCTCGATTAGTAAACGAAACGAAGTAGAACTGTCACTCGTGAAGACAAAAGTGGAATCAAATCCTGAACTCTATAGCAAACCAGAACGTCGCAGCTTAGTGGAAATGGCTAATTAATCAGACGGAGTTTTAGAAAGAAGTCCTAATGCCTTGTAGAAATCTAACGACAGTATTCGAGATTTCTGTGTGACCGACTAGTTAAAATTTTTATTTAAATGTGTAGTGTTCGCGTAAACGTAAAAAAAAAATATAATTTCGCTTTACCAACATTTGTTAAGTGGTGCCCAAATGCTGCAGACATGAGCCTCAACCTGAGACAGTGTGGTGCCGCCTTCAGAAAGTGCGGCACTTGAACCCCGCGCGACTCCCGCCACAAGTGAAGCGAATATTTGTTTACCAACTTCACCAAGTTGCTGGACACACGATTGTTCTTGAGGAACTCCTGTATAAAAATACGCAATGGTATATTTATTTATTTATTTATCCATAGAACACCAGTAGTGCACACATTATTACATTTTAATTGAAAGTCTATACTGAGGTTGTCGTAAGAGGTAACAGAGGGAAAATGAAACAAGAGATAAACAGCAGTATCTTTGTGATAATAACACAAAATTAAACAACTGCGGTTGCCAACTCGCTTGCCAAGCGTGGCAACTATAGCAAAATCCCCCCATTAGGCAATCTATGAGGGAGGCCTATGTTGAGCAGTGGACTTTATTGGCTGTGATGGACGGATGGATTGATTGAAATAGGGCTTAATATAGGGACTGATGTGTGCACCCTCATTGGTGACATAGCATTAATAGTACTATAACATTAAAACAGCAAAGTTACAAGACATATAAAGACAGGCGACGGGCAGCGGTGTTCAAGGTGCGATATGTTTGGTACTGCGATCGTCAATAGGTCAACCACGGAAGAGGCCCATGTCTAGGAGTGGGCTTGTAAAATCTGATGATGATGAAGAAGACAACAGGTCTCTGCTAATAGAAAGGTGACATGTGAATAGAAATGCTTTTTATGACCTGTCTTTTCTGTTTTTAATCAATTTCAAAAAGAAGGAGGTACTCACTTGGAATGTATGTTCTTTTTTTTGTGTGTTACCTCATAACTTTTTCTAGGTGAACCGATTTTGATAATTTATCTTTTATTTGAAAGCTGGTGTCTTTCATGTGGTCCAATATAAATTTGATCAAGGTTTGACCAGTAATTTTTGAGTTATCCTTCACAATTTATATTGAAGTCGTTTGTACAACATTTTTAATGTTACCACTTGTTCTTTCTTGTTGAAAGACGTTAGACACTAGGTCTGTCTCCTGCGTCGTGGAGGCAGTTTACTTACCTACTTAAATTGTACAAAGACTAACATCCAGTTCCGAAAAAAACATTTGTAGGCCTTGTAGGGCCTACAAATATTTACTTGTTTGAATAGTATAGTAAGCCTGTACAATTACACGTTGTGAGCCATTCAATTCCTCAGAGGTGGCAACGCACACGTACGACAGCCTTATTTGTATGAATTTGACTTCAGATATCCATGGTTTAACGTTAATAATCTGCATTTGAACGGAAATAAAACTGATTGTGTTAAATTTACAACAACGAATGTTAAAAATCTGAATACCAATGTGTTTTTAAATGGGAAGGAATTGAGCCCTGTTGTATCCACTGTTTTTCTTGGCATCACTCTTGACGCAAAGCTCCAGTGGGGCCCCCATATATCCAAATTAGCAAGCAGACAAAGTTCTGCAGCCTATGCTGTAAAAAAGATTAGAGGTCTCACTAGTGTCGAGACAGCTAGATTAGTTTATTTTAGTTATTTCCATAGCATAATGTCTTATGGGATTTTGCTATGGGGAAATGCGGCTGATTCAGAAACTATTTTTGTTTTACAGAAGAGGGCCATTAGAGCTATTTACAATCTAAAACCGAGAGTCTCTTAGAGATAAATTTAAAGAAATTAATATATTAACTTTTACCTCTCAGTATATTTACGAAAATTTAATGTATGTTCACAAAAACAAAGATAGTTTTAGTAAAAAAAGTGATATACATTCTGTAAACACTAGTAACAAACACAAGCTAGTGATGTTTTTTTGAAGTTTAAATGTTTTATTAAGCTGAAACTGTATAAAATGGGTTATTATAGTATAAATGAATACATGGTTGATAATAACCCCTGGGAATGAGGTGGTCGCTTCCAAGCAGTTTTAAAATACATTTTGTAAATAGTTCGTAATCATTTATATTGTAAAATTTATTTAAAAAAAAAAGTCCCGCTGGGTTTCTTGCTGGTTCTTCCCAGGACAGAGGGTTTTTTTTCGAACCAGTGGTAAAGTAAAGTAAAAAATGACTTTCAATAAGAATTACACATGTAATGTATATTGAATAAAAAATATTCTATTCTATTCTATTCTATTCATGGAATACAGTTGCCACTTACCATTAGTAGACTGTAAGCTGCAAGTTCCTTTGTTACTTAAGTTTTATAAAAAAAAGTAATTGTTCTGAAAACCGCAGCAAACAAAACTTTTAAAGTAGTTTTCTTTGAAACGAAAACTAAAATGTGTAGACATTTGTCATCACGCAAAAGTATAAACACGTAACACGTTATTTCAGTACTGTAAAATTGCTTCAAGAAAGAAATGTTTGTATGTCATGAGCTCGAGTAATAAAACTAAAGATAATTTTCTTGCAGATGAAGATAGAATTTCTTTTACTATAATTTTGGATATATATATTTTGATAGCATAATTTCAAATTTTGTACAACCGACTTTAATATATATTATTAAGGATAACTCTTAAACTATCGGTCAGACCATGATCAAATTTACTTATATAGAACCACATGAGAAGCACCAGCTTTCTGGTTCTGGCTGGTTCACCCAGAAAAAAATTTATGAGGTAACACAGATAAAAAAAGAAAAAAAAACATACAGTCGAATTGAGTACCGTCTCCTTTTTGAAGCGGTAGAAAAACATGGTAACAGTGTAGAATAGAATGATTTTTATTCAATATAGATTAATATATAGGTAATATGTACTTATTGAAAGTAATTTTTTTATTTAACACTGGTTCGAAAAATACCTCTGTCCTGGGTACACATATTTCACTTTACAATAATTTTGTTTGTACAATTTTTAAATGAATTTTAATAGAACCAGCATGGTGGCGATCACCTCATTCCCAGGGGTTATTTTCATTTATGTATTCTTTGATATTATTTTTGTACAATATTTCTTTAATAAAACAGTTAAACTTGTTTATTGACAAATTTTGTAATTGTAATTTTGTTTGTTGAAAATGACTACTGCAGACCATGGACTCGTGTACTCGAATTCTAACATACTTATACTTACGAGCATAAGTAACTAGATGTTCCCCGCAACTTCGCCCACGCGAAATTTATTACGATTGGATTTCATGGGTTTTAATTTTTTTGCGCGGAACCATAATTATTTTTATAAAATAAAAGTAGCCTAAGTTACTTCTTATAACATCAGCTATCTGCCAGTGAAAGTCCGATCAAAATCGGTCCAACCGTTTCGGAGATTAGCCGGAACAAGCAGACAGGCAGACAGAAAAAAATTTTAAAAGCGTGTTTTTGTTATAAGTACCGTATATATTTTCATAGCAGTTATTTCGACATTACAAACAGACACTTCTGTTAACTGCTTCCAGAACCGTAGAACCGTAAGCAAAACCGGTACACGTACAAGAGTGAAGATTTTTATCACCGCCTGATCTCTCACCAGTCGGGTCGGATTACCGTCTTATCGTACTATGATAGTGAGGGAATAGTGAGTGCACTTGTAGTTGTGCATACATTCAGACTATACTAGATACTATAATCCTGTCCTGCGCAGATGTCTAGACTTCTTTAAGACTGGTCGCCGTGACCGAAATTCGATCTGGCTCCTCCAGATCGAATTTCGGTCTATAAATAAGGAGTTAATAATTATTAACTCCTTAGTCTATAAATAAGGAGTTAATAAATAAGGAGTTAATAATTATTAACTCCTTATTTATAGACCATGCAACCATTTGTTCTGTGATTTGAACCCGTGGCTCCTCAGCGCCACAACTAAACGCTTAGTTGTTGTGCTACGGAGCCGTCAAATATTACATAGTGTAATTTATATGAAGTGCGACAGCTAACCATGAAGTTCCGAGTTCAAATTTTGTACCCAGTTAGGCAAAAATCAGTTATTATGTTTCACTATCAAGAAATACTTCGTTTTTTACACGTGGTAAAGCCATGCTGCAGCAATATTACTGGTATAGTTGTAGCACGAATGGGTCGGTTCGACCGGGGAAGGGCCACGCTCTCACAGAATACCAGCGTAAAATAGCAGCTTAACGCTACTGCGTTTCGTATGGTGAGTGTATAGAACCGGAGACCCTTTTTACTTGAAACGAGGCATTCCATTTTGGTCCTCAAGGGTGACAATAAATCTGTATTTAGATTTGTAACCGAGGATAGATGTAGATGTCTATAGGCCACTGCTACCACTTACCATCAGGTGGACTGTGTGCTCGTTTGTCACTCTATACTATTAAAAAAAAACTTAGTAGCAACCTGGAGTTAGGAAGCTGGCGGTGTTTCACCCCCATACCTCGGAAAGCACATAAAGACATTAGTCCTTCGACTGATCTCTCTCCGGTCGTGTCGGATTGCCGTTCAATCTTCTACTATAAGAATAAGGGAGAACAGAGAGTGCACCTGTGCTTGCGCACATACTCGTACACTATAATCTTGTCCTGGGCAGATGAAAAGACTCCGTTGAGACTGGCTGCAGTTATTCGGTCTGAAGTACATTATAATATTTATGTTTAACTCTTCAAGTCTAGATTATAGCCGTAAGTTATTACCAACGCAAGATATAAACACGCAGTAACACTCCTGTATCTGCACTCGACACTTACTCGTCTTTATTGTGCACTTTATACATTAGGCTCTTTGAAGTGATTCGGAAACAATTACAGCACATTGATACCTTTAACCGTTAGAATGGTCTATTGTACACATTTTGAATTTGAAAGATCTTTTAAGATCACTTAGGACTTAGATCGTGTAGTGGCGTAAAGCATCTCCCACACACAAGCGGCTTGTGGTGGCGGCTAATCGCGAGCCGCGGCTGCAGCCGCTGCAACAACACACCACCGCGGTCTCAGTGGCGGCTTGAAGTTCCATTCGCTGTGGTGTTTGTGCTACGATTGGACGTCAGTAAACATGGCTAACCGTGACGAAGTCTTATTATATTCAGCAATATTATTATATATTTTGTTTTTAATCCTAATGCTTTTGTAATCACGATGCGAATTACGAGTATCATATAGTAGGTACTGAATAATTTTGCAGTTTCTAATAAAATCTCTGAATTTAGTACCATTTTTCACGCGGTACACGCGGCCTGAAACAGGAGTTGGGCAGCAGCACCTTTTTGACAAATAACTCCAAATAACCAAAAATTCCGTTTGCCTATCCATCTGCCAAGCGTGGCATGGCTAAATCCCCCCTAATGTGGCAGTTTAGGGGGGAGGTAGTCCTATGTTCAGCATTGAGACATCATAATTTTAGAGGCTTGAAGAAATAATGGGATACAATAATGAGTTTTACTTCAACCGCGGTTTAAAAAGTTACATGCACTCATTTTACTTAAGTTTGAGTAATACATTTAATACGACTCTTTTTTATATAATAAAAGTGTCAAACGAGCACACAATTCACTTGATGGTAAGTGAATGCTGTACCCAATAGATATGTACGTCCTACGATTGAGAATCAAAATACAGAGTGCGCTGTCACCCTTAAAGACTTAGATGGAATGCCTCGTTTCCATTAAAATAGGTCTCCGGTCCACTGCACTCACGATAAGAAACAGAGCAGCATTAATCTGCTATTTCAGGCTGGTATTCTGTAATAGCAGCAACCTTTCCCGATCGAGCCAACCCATTCGTGCTAAATCGATAAATATAGCTGAAACATGGCTCTATAAAGAGTATCGCCATGCTGCGGCGGGCTGGTTGGCACCCGCAGTATATTTTAACTTGTTCTTTGGAAGACGCTGCCGCTCATCTCCTGGTTTGTTTCCATCTGTCACCTCTTAAGACATCCACAGGATACTGGATATCCTTACACCACCATTACACGGTCAGATACCGGTATATACCTGAAGCTCCAAATACTTGCTGTAGAAGCCGAACGAACGGTAAGACTGATACTGAATGATGTTGGAAAACTCGCCCACGTAAATCATGAACACCATCGTGGAGATCACTTGGAGAACGGACACAAATAAAACCTGAAAAGTATTATAACTTTGACGAGATTTAATTAATATAAACATAAACAACATAATCACTCACGCATGTCACCGAAAGGGGCAATCAGAGACTACGAACTTCCATTTGGCACGATCCTGACACATCTCTCTCGCCTTCTTTACATCCATATAGACTAAGCCTACATGCTTGTCAGTTAAGGGTACTCCTAATCTGGTCCATCTTAAATATATCGCCAATTTGGTCGATACACTTTCGCCTAGGGCGTCCCTTCCTGACTCTGCCTTTCATTTTTAATGACATTGGACAAATAATAGAGCCGTGGTAAGCCAGGAGCTAAAGTTCGTTGTAAATTTCACAGTATGCGAGTGACCCAGGTTCGAACCGCGCCGACACCAATGAAATTGTTAATTGCAATTTTAAGTGCTGATTTACCAAGTGCATGGAGGTGAAGGAAAACATCGTGAGGAAACCTGCATGTCTGAGGAATAAAATATTTAGAGGACCTGTGAAGTTCGCCAACACCCATTGGAACAGTTCGAGGAATAATTACTCCAAAAACCCTGTTAGGAATGAGAGAAAACCTGTGCTAAGCAGTGAGACTTATATAGGCTGTAACTTTACCATGGTGAAATACGAAACTGCGATCTGCAAAAGTTGTCTGATAGAAACTGGATGTGTGGAACCAAATATCGGGCTAAGTGGCGCGCTTTGAGAGATGCCTATGTATGTAGACTGACCGACCAGGGAAAACGTGCAAGGAGCTGAAGAAAGCAAGCTCAAGACCGTGCGTTGTGTCAGTTTTTGGAGAAAGGATTATCTTTTCGATTTTTCCGGACCGATACGTCTTAGCCATCTTCAAGAAAAGAGCCTACTCTTTTTTTTAAGTACAAAATAACGTTGAATAACTTTTCTATCTCTAAAGTAGATTGTATTAAATTTTAATTAGCGTATGAAATTCACATTATCTATATACAAATAAATAGAATTGAAGTGTCTGTTTGTAATGTCAAAATTACATCTTTTTACTAATTGCATATGAAATTATATACAGTACTTATAAAAAAATTAACAAAAACACAATTATAAAAATTTTTGTCTGTCTGTCTGTTTGTTCCAGCATATCTCCGAAACAGCTGGACACTGCCAGTGATAGTCCCGCCAAAATCGGTGACACCCCGTGTAGTGGCGGGTAAGAATACTCACTACCCCATATCTTCCCGTGTGTGTCGTAAAAGGCGACAGAGGGAAACTGAGGCAGAGGATGGGCAGCAGCATCTTTCTGATAACAGCAAAACAACAATAAAAAAACTGCGGTTGCCAACCCGCTCGCCAAGCGTGGCAACTATGGCAATATACTTCCCATGAAAGTAAAGAAGAGACGGCCCCCAGTCCACGGCGGCCCCGCTATTCCTGGCTACGGTGGCGACCATGCTAACGGCGGGGCAGGGGATGCTAAGAATCTCCGGTGGAGGTTCGGTTGCCATCTACGACGATTCGACCTGACAACTTATAACGCACGCACCCTGAGGACTGACGAGCAGATCCTGGAGCTGGAAGAAGAGATAGACAAGCTGCGCTGGAATGTCATAGGATTATCCGAAGTCCGAAGAGAGGGGGAGGACACGGTAATCCTCGAATCCAGCAATTTGTTCTATCACCGGGAGGGCGACCATCTGTCCCAAGGAGGTGTTGGATTTATCGTCCACAAGTCTCTCGTTAACAACGTTGTAAAGATTGAGAGTGTGTCAACGAGGGTTGCGTACCTTATACTCAGAATCACCAAACGGTATTCGCTGAAGGTCATACAGGTTTACGCACCAACCTCGGCACACCCCGATGAGGAGGTGGAGAAAATGTATGAGAATATCTCTAGAGCCATGCATCCCTCCAAAACCCACTATACGGTGTTAATGGGAGACTTCAACGAAAAACTAGGCACAAGAGAGAACGGTGAGCTGAAAGTAGGGAAATTTGGAATAGGGCAACGGAACCCAAGGAGCCAGCAGTTGGGCGACTTCATGGAGAAAGAGGGACTTTTTATGATTAACTCTTTCTTCCAGAAGCGGCCCCACAGGAAGTGTACCTGGTCGAGAGCCGACGGTTCGACAAAAAATGAGATTGACTTCATTATGACGACCAGACGACAACTGTTCAGTGATGTCTCCGTGATCGCGAGGGTGAAAACTGGTAGCGATCACCGAATGGTCAGAGGCACACTGAACCTAAACGTTAAGTTTGGGAGGTCTCGTCTAATGAAGTCATCGCTCCGTCCCCCTCGTGGTCTGTTCCAAAGTCCCGAAACCTTTCAGCTCGAGCTACAAAACCGTTTTCAGTGCCTAGAAGGTTGCAATACAGTGGACGATATGAATGACAAGCTCGTGGAAACTGTCCATGCGGTCGGAGCTAAGTTTTGCAAGACCCGCCGCAGAAGAACACAAAAACTCTCCGATCACACACTTAATCTCATGGCTGTTAGACGGGATATGAAGCTGTGATTTGACAGCATACAGGCAACTGAACAGACTGATCTTCAAATGCATGCGGGGAGACTTGCGTAACTTTAATACTGCTCGTATTGAAGAAGCGATCGAGCGGAACCAGGGCTCCTAAGTATTTGCTAGAAATCTGTCTGCCAGAAAGAGCCAACTGTCGAAGCTGAAGACCGAGTGTGGCATCGTCGTTTTCGGGACACCTGAGATTTTGAGTGAGATTAGAGGTTCTATGGGCAGCTGTACACATCATCGTTGGAGCCACACGTAAGTGTGAGTAACGATCCAAGAGCGAGTCTTATCCGACACTATCCCGATGATAGCAGAAGTGCGTTGGTCTTATTCTTCAAGAAAAAAAAACTACAGACCGATTTCCCTTCTGAGCCGCGTCTATGTGCTGTTTCCGAGAGTCATTACGAATCGTCTCGTGCGCAGACTTGACGACTTCCAGCCTCCTGAATAAGCCGGTTTCCGAAAAGGCTTTAGCACCATAAACCACATACATACCCTTCGGCAAATTGTACAGAAGTCCGACGAGTACAATTTGCCACTATGTCTCGCTTATGTGGACTATGAGAAAGCCTTTGATTCCGTCGAAATTTGGGCGGTGCTGCAGTCCCTTCAGTGATGTCAAGTTGACTGTCGGTATATCGAAGTGCTGAAGTGTACAAGCACAGTAGAGCTACAGAGCTTGTACAGAACCAGAGTACGAAACCTATCTAATTGCAGAGAGGTGTAAGACAGGGTGATGTTATATCCCCGAAACTCTTCACCGCTGCATTGGAAGCTTCTGGACTGGAACGGATACGGTATTAACATCAATGGCGAGTACATCACTCACCTTCGATTTGCCGACGATATAGTCCTTATGGCAGAATCGCAGGAGTACCTAAGTACTATGCTCAATGACCTCAATAGTGTTTCCCAACGGATAGGTCTTAAGATGAACATGGACAAAACAAAGATCATGTTTAATGTCCATGTCACACCTATGCCGGTAGTTGTTGGGAGCACTAAGCTCAAAGTTGTTGACGAGTATGTTTACCTGGGGCAAATAGTCCGACTAGGTAAGTCCAACTTCGACCGAGAGGTCAATCGACGGATTCAACTCGGTTGGGCAGCGTTCGGGAAATTACGGCACACCTCAAAACTTGAAAATTGGGACGTGGTCCTTCACTGCTGGCCGATGAGGAAGCTCAAGAACGTTCAGCGAGCTATGGAGAGGGCTATGCTCGGAGTTTCTCTGCGTGATAAACATAGAAATGAGGATATCCGCAGTAGAACCAGAGTGACCGACATAGCCCAACGGATTAGTAAGCTGAAGAGGCAATGGGCCGGCCATATAGCTCGAAGAACCGACAGTCGATGGGGAAAATAGGTTCTCGAGTGGCGGCCTCGTACCGGCGGACGAAGTGTAGGGCGTCCTCCCACTAGGTGGAGTGACGACCTGGTAAGAGGTGGAGGTTTTCTACGTGGTAGAGCCATGCTGCAGGTATATTATGGTTGTAGCACGAATGGGTCGGCTCGACCGGGGAAGGACTACGCTCTCACAGAAAACCAGCGTAAAATAGCAGCTTAACGCTGCTGTGTTTCGTATGGTGAGTGTAGAGAACCGGAGATCCTTTCTACTGGCAAAGAGGCATTCCATCTTAGTCCTCATGGGTGACAACGCATCTGCATCTTGAGTCTTTATTGAGATAGATATAGATGTCTATGGGTCACACACAGTAACCACTTACCATCAGGTGGACTGAGTGCTCGTTTGTCACCCGATCCTATAAAAAAAAAGATATGCAGGAAGTCGATGGATGCAGGTGGCTCAGGACCGTGCTTTGTGGCATTCCCTGGGGGGGGGGGGGGGGCTATGTTCAGCAGTGGACTTGTGAAAGGCTGTAATGATGATGATGATGATCACTGGCAGGTAGTTGATTTTATAAGGAGTAACTTAAGCTACTTTTATAAATTTAAAAAATTAAAAAAGAATAAGGATTTCGCGCTAAAACATAAAAACCCTAACACGCGAGCGAATTTGCGGGGAACAGCTAATTGTGTAATAAAAATATTTTTTAGAGAAAAAAACAGTTTTTAAACGTCGGAATTTTCGCAAGTATTATATTTAATGCTGAACAACGAATGACAGAGATCAGATAAACATGACCGCACGTCACTGATGCATTGGTTTTTGTCACTCTGCCAGTTAAAATGTCGGCGTGCCGTGTACGAATTGTACTTTGTTTATCAGCTGCCGGTAAACAAAACAATTCATTATTGAATCATGTTTATTTTAGGGTTTATTATTATTTTTAAACGCCATGACACTTTGTAAATATCTTTTTAATAACTCTAGTCTAATTTGCCAGTATTAGCTAATCGTGTAGCAGCGGTGTAAGAATATCCACTACCCCATAACATCCGGTGGATGTCGTAAGAGGCAACAGAGGGAAACTGAAACAAGAGATGGGCAGCAGCATCTTCCTCATAACAACCTTAAAAAAATAAAAATAAACTACAGTTGACAACTCCCTCGTCAAGCGTGGCCTATGTTGCATAGTGGATTTTATAGGCTGTAATGGATGGATGAATTTGTCACTTGTTTGAAGTGTTGTGTTTTTATCTGTTACTGGCGGCCGCACCGGTTACATATATACTCGTATATATAAGGTACGTGAGGGTAGCATGGTCACTGTGGCGGCGCTGTCGTCGCGCCACAAGCAAAAACGCATCGAAGCCTAAATCGCGCTAACAAAGTTCCGAAGTTAAAACAGTATATATATATAGAATAGCTCCGAACTACCACTTGGAGCGTTGGCCGCTCCCCGGGCAGAACACCTTGCCCGGCGGGAGATCTCCCCTTTTCCTTCCACCGGCCACAGTCACCTTATGCTTTGCCCCCCTATAAAACCAAAACTATGCGGAGGACAGAGACAAAAACCCATTGTCGTATACTATAACTAATATATTAAGAAAAAATAGCAAATAAGCTTTGGCAATGATTAGGAACACTTCGAAAAATCAACTTAAAAAACACTAACTACACTACACAGTACTAAAAACGACTAAAATATTTACTATAATATCAACTGTCAAAATGGCGTCGATAAAGCAGCGCCCTTTTGACTCTTTATTATTTGATTGACTGATGAAGAGCTATCGTATGACAGACAGAGACAGAAACAAGTCTGTAGTTAGAGTTATAAGAAAGTGACCATATTAACTAGATATATCCGCCACCAGAGTTTTTATATAAAAATGCTTAGTGCAAGTTATTCTTAGCAGACTAACATAATATGCTGACTATCTTTTTGAACTTTCTAAAAGGAATTATTCAGCCATACATTATTTTTGTGCAACTTTAAATATTGACGCAGTTCATGCTATGAAAGCTCTCAAGAGGCAAGACTTTTACCGACTAAGTTGAAGGATATCATTATAACTTTTAGCCATAATATATGTATACAAATAATGTATAGCCTATGTACATCTGGAATAATGCAATTTTCAAATGATAAAATAATTTTTCAAATAGGTGCCGTGGTTAGGAAGATTACCACCACCTTTTTTATAGAATAAGGGTGACAAACGAGCACACAGTCCACTTGATGGTAAGTAAATGCTGTGGCCTATAGCCCCAGTTGTCACACCTATAAAAAAAGACCTGAGAACAAAGACCGAATGCTCCGTTTCCAGTAAAAATGTTCTCTGGTTCTCTACACTCACCATACGAATCACAGCAGCACTGAGCTGCTATTTAGGCGTGCTACAACCATAATATCTGCAGTATGCCTCTATTATGTATAGGTATATAAACTCACAAAATTCGCACTCTATTTATAATATTAGTATACACTAGTTGTTCCCCGCGATTTCGCCCGCGTGTTATTGATTACGATTGGATTTCATATGTTTTAATTTATTTGCGCGGATTCCTAATTGTTTTTCAAAACAATAAATAGCCAATGTTACTTCTTATAACATCAATTATCTGCCAGTGAAAGTTATGTCAAAATCGGTCTAGCCATTCCGGAGATTAGCAGGAACAAACAGACAAACAGACAGACAGAAAAAAAATTTAAAAATTGTGTTTTTGTTATAAAGTAATATATAACAGTATACTTTCATATGCATATAGTAAAAAGCCGTTATTTTGACATTACAAATAGATACTTCAATTTTATTTGTATGTAGTGTGTATGTATAGATTTGTCGTATTATCAGAGATATATTGTTTGGCACTGCGACAGTCAAGTGCAATGTACGCTGACATAGGAACAGCTAGATCAATCATATTAGTAGAAATACATTAATACTGAATGATGAACTATAGAACTAACTACATACACGGTTATTTTGCAATAACCGGCCAAATTTGCAGAGAAGGTTCAGAATAAGTAATATACGTAAATGGTGAAGAAAAATTGATTAAAAAAATCTCTAAAATATTCTATCCTTTTTATCTTTTAAATTCAAAATGCGTGGTAATTCATTATTTTAACTGATTTTCATTCATAAATATTTAACGCCTACTATTTTACTACGCACACATTCGTAAAGGTCGATCGGTTGGCAAAAACGTTGCGAATTGAAATTGCACACAGCGGAGCGCGCGTACGCGTAGTTGTTAATCAAATTCAATTTGGTTCAAATTTATATCATTATTGATAAATTTGAACTTAAGTTTAAAATTTGGCTACTCTTTGAAAAATAATCCTGTATAGTTTGACGATAGTTTGAATGAAATTACATTGTAGTGAATGGGAGAGAGTTTTGTGTAAGAATATCCATTCCAACAAAACCGTCGCATGGGAGTCATAAGAAGCGACAGAGCGAAACAAACCAGAAGAAGGAAAGCATCGTCCACCTAATAACAATAATGGTTTTAAAAATAAACGAGGCATTCGATCCTCAGGGTTGACAACAGATCTGCATTTTCGATCTATGAGCCACAGCATTCACTTATCATCAGGTGGATGTAAGTGATGTGTTCATTGATCATTGTTATTCTATATAAAAGAAACTAATAGTTATTATTAGTATAGTATATTATTTTTAAAAGTAGTTAGAGATGTTTTAGATTTAGCATACCTCAGCCCGATTCTTTGGCATGATATCGCCGACACCGTTCTGCGTGAAGGTTGTAAGAACGAAGTATAGTGAACAAATATACATGTTATCGCACCATGAACTGCCGTCATCTATAAAATGTTTATATTCATCATCAGGTTAAAAGAAGAAATAGAATTCGAAGATAGGCATAAAATACAACTAGCGACCCGCCCCGTATTCGCCTGGATGATAGTTTAGACCATTATTTATCAGTTCTTCGAATTTCCCAAAATAGCATAGATCATTCTTGGCATTGCGCTCTATCTGTTCATGAAGTTTCATCGCAATCTGTTCGGCCATTCCGAAGATAAGCCCGGACAGGCAAACAGACAAACAAAAATGATTTTTCATGTTTTAACAGCATGCAAATAACCCCCTGAATTTAAAAGAAGTCAGTTATAACTGCAGACAGACACTACAATTTTATTAAAATGTATAGATATATTTATATATTTTATTTATACGTGCTAGAACCATGCTGCAGCTATATTAGTAGTATAGTTGTAGCACGAATGGGTCGGCTCGACCGGGGTAGTACCACGCTTTCACAGAATACCAGCGTAAAATAGCAGTTTAATGCTGCTGTGTTTCGTATGGTGAGTGTAGAGAACCGGAGACTCTTTTTACTGGAAAAGAGGCATTCCATCTTAGTCCTCACGGGTGACAACGCATCTTCATTTTGATTCGCAAACGAGAATAGATGTAGATGTCTATGGGCCACAGCAACTACTTACCATCAGGTGGACTGTGTGCTCCTTTGTCACCCTATCCTATAAAAATATAATAATAATAATATAGTATTAAAAGGTTTAGCGGTGTGGTGACGACAAAAGAGAAACCATCACCACATTTCATTCCAGAGGTGTCGTACGGAAGATCTTGTGATCTCCCATGACGGTCGTATATTTGTCTCGATAAATCTTCTGACTGACAATGAGAAGTAGCTGACAAGTTTATTATTATGATCGGGTCTGGCTGAAATTTATATGGGAGTAGGCTATGAGAGAATACTCTAATATCGTTCAATTAATCCCTGAGATAAATAAAAAAATATTTATAAAAAAACCAGGAAAAATCAAAGTTCATATTTGAACTTCACAATCACAACAATTTCAACTGTAAATAAAAAAAAATATAATTAATTTTTTAAACAATTACAGTCAAAAGACCTGTAGTCATGTTTGTTTGAAATTAGATGCATATGTTCATGGATTTTAGTAGCCACCTAACATTAAGTGGACTGTAAGTTACCCAATAGTAAAATAAAAAAAAAACTGCAAAAGTCCATTGCTTTTCGAAACAGTTATATAAGTTGGACTCAATTTAGCGATCAACTGGTTATATTTAAAAGGAGAATATTTAAAATTCTATGTCTAAAAAATCTGAAGTCATTACTCTTATGAATCCACGAAGACTTGGGTCGGACTTTGTCCTGGATATGGCCAATGAAGTACCAAAGACACGTAGTCACGTGCACGAACAGGGTGGACCAGACGAACACCGAGTAAATGGTCATCAGCGTTATGTTGATGGAGAGCCTTTCATGGTGGCGACTGACGCCCTTGTACACCGTTATCTGGGTAAAAGCAATTAATTAAATGAAGCTTTAAATAATAACTAAAATAAAGATGGTAAATGCGTGGTAGAGCCATGCTGCAGCTATTTTATTGGTATAGTTGTAGCACGGATGGGTCGGCTCGACCGGGGAAGGGCCACGCTCTCACAGAATACCAGCGTAAAATAGCAGCTTAACGCTACTACTGAGTTTCGTATGGTGAGTGTAGAGAACCGGAGACGTCTTTACTGGAAACGAGGCATTCCATCTTAGTCCTCACGGGCGACAACAAATCTGTATTTAGATTTGTAACCTAGGATAGATGTAGATGTCTATAGGCCACTGTTACCACTTGCCATCCGGTAAACTGTGTGCTCGTTTGTCACCCTTATCCTATAAATAACGAGAAACAACTAATTTGTTATCGTTTGCGCATGGTATAAATATTTTTTTATAGTTATGCGATCGTCGCTGATACAAATAATAAAATAGACCAAAATAGAAATTTAAAATCAAATCTAAACTTTACACTATTCAATGATAACGCTAAGTAATCTTGTTTAATTTTATTCTGATTATTGTAAACGTCTACAATTAAGTAGTATCAAAGTAATTTTAACTTAGAGACGACGTGAAGTAAGTCGCGAATCGTGATGCTAGAAGTTTCAAATTCATATTCAAATTTACTTTTATTTGTGAATACAGGTAATTCGACGTCTGGATCTGAGATCGCCAATCCACCTGACAAGCACGGCGATTAAGATGGATTGTCGCTACATGAGGAGAGGCCCATGTCCAGCGGTGGACTTTTATGAGCTGGTAAAGAAAAAGACGGTACCGCTTTTTATTGGTGTACAGAGTTTCGTTAATAGAGTGCACCGCTAGTAGGTGAAGTTTGTATTTTTTAAGAATGTTAAGACCTCTGTACATCCTTTGTGAATATTAAAGATGTTAAATATTAATTAGCTAGGCTCCGAGTAGTAAATAAAATAAATTGTTTTAGCTCGTTTGACAAGCACCTCCCACCGTCCCTCAATTATTGTGTGCACCATTCCGTCACCACTAATCCCAACACCACTACGCTAGGAAATACTGCCGATGATAATAATAATTTGTATTATGTAAGACATTATTTTATTACGCGGATTTAGCTACTTAAATTTTAACATGTTTAATATAATGGATGTCCGCAAAGTAACGTCTGCATCTGTTGTCTTTGTGAATATAAAAATAAAATAACAAAGAAAAAAAAAAGAAACTTACAACTCTAAACAGCCTATTTAGTCGAAACAAAGAAAATAACATCCCACGGTGATTATAACTCAAGAAGCTAAGCAATTCCAGTGGAGCGCAAGATAAAATGTCGAATTTAAATTCGTAATTGTAATACCTGAAAATTTTAATAGGTATCTAATTCTTTTAAATAAAAGTACTTAGAAATAAAATTTCTGAAAATATTTGGATGTATGTTACTCTATCAAACATAAATGACTCAACAGATTTGTATGATATAAGGCACAGAGCCCGTGTAGTGGCGGTGTAAGTACTACACGGGCTCTGTGCATCATCGAGACCCTAGTAGTTTCTACCATAATTTTCAGACGATATTGGAGAAAAAAAGCGTCCACATTGTTTAAGTGTTAATTCGCAAACTTAATTATTAAAATAATTTTATCTAAGATTCCAGCCGTCACATGAAAGTCGCGTTGTTTGTAAATGTGCCACAGTCACATTGACGCCGCATTTGTGCCTCATAAATTCCGAAATGAATAGTTACAAAACACAGTAAGTCACATTTTTCGAACAAATTAACTTCCCTCTCTTAAGAAATCTCTTATCTGTCAAATATTACACGTCATTTTAATTGGCGACGCCCTGGTGACAGAAAAGTTCGTGGATGCCCCTCATAACGTGGATTATTAAATGATAAAATTTCGTGAAAGAATTAAAATTTACCTCTGTCTATCATCCAACAGTACTCTTCTAACGTCATCGTCCTTTTCGGCGATATACGGCATAGCGTAAGGAATCAAGAACTTCAAGCAGAATCCTAGATCCAATACGTAGAGGACTAGAACCAATACCATCCTATTATCTTGGAACCCAGCGTTGTAGACGTCCCCATAGATACAGAGTAAGGACACGACTACCAGATACAGCTGTACCGCCGCGTTGTTATAGTGAAGAAATTTGAAAAGGCCCTTGCGTCTTCGTAACGGTAATATAGAAGACATGGGGCTCAGGTCTTTTAATATCATCGAAGACTTTTTACTCGCGGTTCCTAATACATAATTCTGGAAAAATAAAAAATAAACTATCAGTCGTAGGACTGCACGCCAGAAGTGAAAACTTTTTTGCCTCGCAATCTTGTTCACGTTATTTTAAGGTTCTTAAGAAAAAAAAAATTATGAATTTATTTGAAATTATTTTTATATCAACGTATATTATTAATATGTACTAGCGACAATCTAAAAAGCCCGATTTGACGTTTCTCATTATACATGCCGCAATAACTTTGTATGAACGTGTACGTCAGAAATCAAAAAATCATGTTCATAATCCTATATAATTACTATGTTATCTATACAGTATAACAATGAGTATCATTTGTAAGCACAAAGTCATTATAACTTTACCTCTTTTACAGGCTATGCTGCATGTCAAAATACAAAACCTCCATCCACCACAACAAAATGCTTGGTCTTCTTAAAGAAGCATGTGCACACGTCACAAAAGATGATTGGATCAATGTAGTAAAGAGGACAAAGAAAATTATAACGGAAGACTTTAGAAGAGACGTACATTTTGACAATTTGATTGAAAATTAATTTATTATGAGGTTAACTGATGAAGACAGTTCAACTGATGATAATTTTTCTGGATTATCCAGTGACGAAAGTGAATAAAAATGTTACAAATTCAGTGAATTTATTTACACTTATTTATTGTTTTATTCTTGATTAGCGACCCGCTTCAGCTTCGTACGGGTGCATATCAGTGGCGTGCCTACATAATATAAATGTATTATTATGTCTTGCCTTTGAAACTGCCCCAAATTTAAAATTTGTTTGGATTTAAATATTAACTGTTAAATATTACAAACTCGTACATGTATTAAAGCGATATGCCATGAGAATCAATTTTAAACGATGTAGATACATTGTCCATTACAAACTTTAAATAAACAATATGTCTCGAGAAACGGTTTTTAAAGCAACCAATTTTCTTTCCCATCATTACACAAAGTATTTTTATAGCTGTCAAATCGGGCTTCTTAGATTGTCACGAGTATAGCAATAAATTTTCATATATTGTGCTGTTTTACATAAAAAATAACGAGTATTAAAGTTAGTAAAAATTACTGCGCATACATCCGCTCGATAAAATAAAATGATGTGTCTTACCTAGTATGAAGAGCACCTCCCGCCGTCCCTCAATTGCTTGC